AACGCTCGCAGAACTGCATGCGCTTGCGGCCGATGGCTTCCCAGTCTACTCCGAGCCTCTGCTCATGGCCCATCCGGCACGCGTCGTAGCCAGCTCGCCCCCAGGCGCCCATGAAGTAAGAGCACGTCTCGGGCGCGTTGAGTAGGGGGTTGCTCCTGTAGCCCCCCTTGGCGTCGTGAATGCCGCGCGTTGGGGCCACGCGCGCCATATAGCGTCGAAGGCGCCCCCTAGCGTCTTTTGCAAGCGCGCAATCTTGACCTGGATGTCTTCCATTTTGTCTGGGCTCGCAACTGCCAAGACACACTTGCACATGGGACCGCCACCCAGGGGGTCTTGGAGGCCTCCGAACGCCCGGCGGTCGGCGCTGGTGTCCTTCCAGGGTTCCCTGCACGGTTCCAGTCGCACTGGGCTGCACCTGGGCGACTTCGCGGCGCGTCCTTTCCCGCCCCCAGTGTCTTCGGAGTCTGGGCGGTTGCGCCCTTGCTGCCAGGGCGACAGGTTGGGGTCGCAGGCTTCCCTGGCCCCGACTCGGTCTCAGGACGGTTCGCTGGTCGGCGCGGCGTCGTCCGTGGCCCTCTGGAGCTCCCTGGCTGCGTCCTTGTCGACGGTCTGCGCGCAGGGCGCCCATGGGGAGCGGATGGAGGGCGCCACTGGAATTATGCCGAGGGGGTCGTCGTCATCGGTCGCCGCGGCCGCAGGCTCGGGGCCCCCGCCCGGGCTTCTCTCCTTACCGCTGCGGCCGCGGCCCCTGAGTACTCGTTCCAGTCTGGTGACTCTGGGCTCCTGGGCCCCCGTGGCTCCGTCTGTCTTGCAGGCCTGCCCGGTGTTGTCCTGCTCGACTGCTGCTGCGTGGGTCTGAGGTCCGATCTTGGCCCCCTCGTTGCCGGGTGCAACGCGGACCGGCCTGGAGGTGTCACCATGCTGCGCAGCCTGTCCCAGGTTTGTCTCACTTGGGGGGGGCGACTTCTGCCGCTTCGCCGCGCCTGTCCAGCCAGTAGGCCGCGGGGGGGCCCACCGGCGCTGCTGCGCTGGCGGCGGTCTGGACAGGGCCCTGCTGCGCCAGGGAGTCGATGGTGCCGTCGGCTAGGGCCGAGGGGTGCATGTCTGCGAGGTACCCCAGTAAGGTACTGGTCGCATGGCGAGGGGGGCTGAGGCCTCGCTGCACCCCCAGTCTAGCAATATACGTCCGCCACTTGTTCGCGCACCCGTCGTTCTGCGAGAGGTGGGAGACGACCCGGGCGGTCGCAGCCCTCTGGCCGCCCCAGGGGATGTTGGCAGGGCGGCTTTTCGGCGGGATCGTTGGCCCGTAGATGCCGACCAGGAAGGGGCCAAGCCTGCTGGGGGGCCAGGACTCCTCGTCGGTCCTCTCGCCGGGGATCCCGTCGCCATGCCCCCGGACGCAGTTAGTCCATCGCCCGTAGATGTCCGGGTTCCACTCGAGCAAGAACTGGACCAACGCGCGGAGGACGCCCTGGGAGTCCTGCCCTGGCAGCTCGCTTGTGGAGCAAGTTGGCAATGCGGGGCCCGATGGCGGGGGTCGCTCGGGAGCAAAGCGCAGATGTCCTGGGACCTGGGGCCTTCACGGCTTGGCCGCCCGTGGGGGAGGCGCGGTCATCTCCAGCGAGGGGAGGCGCCCCTTTGGCGCGGCCCGCTGGACGCGAGTAGGCGTCCAACGCGGTCGCGTCGGCGGCACCAGGGGCGAGGTGAAGGGCGATGTCGGTGTTGTCGACGTCCATGCCAGACGGGGCCCCCCGCTTGGCTGGCGCCTTGGGGTAGACGTTGGCCGACTGCTCGTCGAGGATGTGGTCGAGCGTGCCTGGGGCCACATTCCAGACGTGCGCTAGGCACCTCCTGCAGGACCAGCTAGCGCTCCACTTTCGCTGGGCCCAGAGGGCAGGCATCTGCTCCCAGGGGGGGAGACCGGTGTTACTGCAGACGGGTACATGTGGCCCTGGGGGCCAGAGGAAGCAGCCGAGGGCGGGGCGTTTTGCGCTCCGCACCAGCAAAGGGGGCCCTGGCGGGCACGTGTCGCACCTGGCCGAATAGGTGCCGGTGGAGTGAGTTTCGGGGCCAAGCCTCCCATCAGTCAACTTGTGCGCAGGAAATGCCCCGTTGGCGGCTCGCGGACTAGAAGCGGGGGGGGCCGTCATGACGAGGTCGCCCAGTGACGTTGGGGTTGGCGCCAGGGCGGACCGCCCGCGCCCGATCGGGAGGCGCTCCAGGGAGGGGGGCACCATGGACCTCCTGTCTTGCCACTTGCCCTGCAGAGTGTTTTTGTAGTCCTGCATCCGCATGGCCAAAGACCTTTCTGAGTTGCAGTCGTGCGGGGCGAAGGGCGCGGGGAAGCCTTTCGCTTCTTCTGAAGCGATCCAGCACCGTTCGCAGAGCCAACTGCAGCTCCTGCCCAGTATGTAGGCCTGGGCGCGATTCTGCGCTAGGAGCTCCCTTGTGTCGTCGTATTCCCACGTACCAGCGGAGTACCAGAACCCCTTCTTGCTGCAGTCACTTCCGTCGCAGTGGATGCGGGCTGCCTTGAGGTTGCTGGTGAAACGGTCGTCGGCCACCCTTGGCGGGTTCAAGCGTACTCCAGGGGCGGGGGGGGCTGGCGTGTCGTCGTCGAACCGCTTCTTTGACATAGCTATGCCACTTCCGATGCACTGCAATCCTGCCACTGAGTCCGGGCGCCCGAGGCCTTGCTCCGATCCGGCGAGCTCCTTGTGATGGGTGCAGATTGAGCATTCGAATTCACCTATGGAGGCGACCTTGGCCGGTCGGACTCGCGCCTCCGGGACCCTCACGGGTGCTTCCAGCGGGAACCTGCTGTCTTGCATCTTTGCCCACGTGCGCGGGCAATTGTGCTCAATGGCGACGGTATGGTGATGAGCGCACGTGGCTAGCATGCTGACGTGCTTGATGGCGCCCTCGAATTTCCCGTGAAGGGCGGCCAGGGCGCCGAAGGTGAAGCCCCAGGCGTTCGCGAACGCGGTCCTGTACTCCAGGTGGACATTTTGCCAGGGTGCGCAGATGCCCATCGCTGCTTCCATGATGCCCCCTGTTGCCTCAGGGTGGCGGAAAGGCCGAAGCGTCGCTCGCGGCTCTCGCCACTGGATCATCATGACTACCAGGAAGACTCTGAATAATGGGGTGTCCAGCGGGCGTCCGTCGCAGTTGAGGAGGCCCTGCCTCGGCGTGGAGCCGGCTTGGCCGGTTTGGGGCAGGGGCGCCAGGTTCTGCATCCCAGGGTGCACGCGGTGCCTCTAGCATTTCCCCGTAGTGGCGCTCCAGGCCAAGGGGAACTGGTGTAGGACCTCATGCGGGGCACACCGTGTGGTGCCCTTCGGACGGCGGCTGCGGCCCCGCACCTCGGGCAGAGGGGGGGAGCGAGTCCGCGGGCACGGTCATCCCAGGGTGCGCCGAGCCCGAGGGCCACACCAGGGCGGCCCACGTCACGTTGTAGACCAGGTTACTGGGGTCAATTCCCAGGTCCACGTCGTAGCAGAACCCCACGTGGCTCCAGGCTTTGCGGCCGAAAAGGCCCGGTTCTCTCGGTGCGTCGGCAATCGAGCACTGGTGAGAGTGTAGGCCAGAGACTGTACACAGGACCACTCCCAGGGCGGGGTCTTCTACCAGCCTCTGAAAGCTGTTCTGCATGGCTTCGCCGAGGGCTTTCCACCAGAATTCTGGGTCCAATGGGGTCGCGATCTTGTCGGAGAAATTCTTTTCCATTGAAGCCAGAGTTTTCTCAATCGCGCTGTCGATCCCCTTTATTACGTCGTCGCCTGCGTGCGAGGGAAGGGATTCTGGGACCCAGGTGGCACGATCCTTGATGGGGTCGAATTCCTCGTCGACCTCGAGTGCCCTAAGTTGCCCACTCTGGTCGGGCTCTTGGAACCGTACCCACAGTTTGGCGAAGCGGCCGTACTCGGAGAGCTCTCGGAGTCTGGACCAGGTGGCCGTGGTGAACATCCTCCCGTCGCCGATGATCACGACGTTGCGCGTCTCTCTGCTAATGGCGACGTTCACCCTGTTGGCGTTGTCCATAAAGCCCCAGTCGTGCCTGCCATTGGATCTGGTCGTTAGGAAGATAACAAGGTCTGCTTCTCCGCCTTGGCTGGAGTTGATCGTGGAGAGGACGAGCCTGCCGCTTGCTAGCGTCAAGAATTATGTTAGAGAGGGGGCCGGCGGCACAAGGCAAAGCCCGTACGGATACAGGGCCCACCCCTCGCTCGAAGACAAAATCATTGAAGGCCCGTGCGCGCTTGAACGAATCCTGACACCTCGGGGGCATCCTTGGTCTCAAGACGACCCAAAAGAGCCCCGAGAGGGACCCGAGAGGGCACCGAAGGCCTCCAAGAAGGCGCGAAGAGTGCGCAAAGGCCCAGAGAAGCTGCCGAGAGGCTCCGAGATTGAAAGACCCGAAAAGGCATTTACGGCTGACTCCTGAGTCTACTCAGGCTAATCCCGAGCTTCGGTTTGACGGCTGCCACCCCCTCTTGATCCCACTGCTTGCTCGTGCACTTCCCTGATCAAGGCATCTCGCATAGGCATTGCTTATGGATGGGCTGGTAAGGGCACGCAAGAAGTCTAGAAAACGCCACCACCACTTGAAGAACGTGTCAGGAAGCATGAGGAAACAACGAACGCTTCACCCCTGGAAGCCACCGACTGGAATCAACAAGGATGCTTCAAGGTTCTTGCTACGGTAGGCGGGGTCGTGCAAGTGGGAGGATCGCAGCAAAGCAACTGTAGCATGGATGACACAGCAGACAGGAGACGATTCCGACATGATGCTGATGACGAGTTAAGCTCACAGACACAGAGAGCTACGTGCAAATCGCCAGGCAGCACACGCTGCACGTAGCACCAGAAATGTGAAACTACACTTTGAGTGCAAGGTGCATCACAAGGCCCGCTCATTCCCACGTGGTGCACCAATTATGCAGCCAGGGAAGAGCCTGCCCCACCGCCGTCTCGAAAAGTCTACGAACACGGCCGGGCCATCACGAGGCACCCCCAACGACGCGAATGACGTGGGTCGGGGGAACCTGCAACTCCTCGTTCACCTTGGACCCCAGGTACTGGTCTAACAACTGCTTCAGTTCCTCATTTTGTTTCTGCATATTGACAGCACTATCTATGGCTTTGCTTCTGACCTGCAGGAGGGAGTAATACCGCCTCAGTGCGACGTCCAAGGCCCTCCACACTCTGAAATTCATGTCGGGAATCACGTGCCCCTTCTTCTCCCAGAATTTTCGCTCTTCTCGCCTCACCCGCGCCTTTTTCTCTGCTTCGCTTTCACTTCCCAGCTGTTGGGTGCGGGCCTTTTTCTTTTTATCGGGCACTACATCAGCACTCCGCTGGTTCTCTTTCTCTTGTATGAACTCTTTCAAAAGGTTGAGTACGTCGTCTGCCTCTACCATTAATGCCTCATCATCCTCATCCTGACCATTGTAGAAAGTGGTGACGAGCAGGTCAACATCTTCTTGGCTCTCCACGTTGATGTATCGAAGAATGGCGTCAATCTGAACCACATCCTTCTGCTCTGCTGGGAGTCCCTGAATCTGTTCGCGCACCTTGATGTCCAGCAGGAACTGGGTCTCCTCCTTCACCAGATCCAGCACTTTCTTGACTTTTGTTGACGTGAACTTACCAGAAACTGACTGGCCCATCTCAGCGGATTCTATAGCCGTGCTCTTGCCGGTGGTCGTGCCAGATTCTGAGAATGTCTCGAGCTCCGCATCCAGCTGTTCCTGCTTTGGCTGTATCCATTCATGGCCCAACTGTTGCTCGTGCAACAAACGATCAGCTTTCAAGACCTTGTCCCTTAGCACACGGACTTCCTCCTCGTTCATCTCCCAGACTTCACGGAACTTCTTCTCGTCAGCCTGCTCGAAGTGATGGCACTTCTCCTGCAGATCTTTGAACTGCTTGGTAAGGCGCTTATACTCTTCTGTAAGATTGATGTTCTCACTCTTATACTTAGCATCAAGAGTCTGATACCGCGTCATTAAATTGTTGAGAGTCTCCCTCAGCTTGTTCAGACGATTCTTGTACGATGACTGAATCGCTGTATGCTCCTTGTTGCGCTCTGATAAAACCTGCAAGTTGTACTCAAGCTTCTCCTTGTTCAGGGTGTAAGTGCTGTTCATCTTTTCTAGGTGCTGCTCCAGCTCCTGTATCCCCTTCTCCAGGGCTATCTTGCACTTGTTGTAATCGTCAGCGTTGTGTGTACGGAGATCCTCAATCTGCTGCTGAAAATCCCGCTCACGCTCCTGGCGCCTCTCCAAGAACTCCGTCTCCTCCATCTGCCTGCGCCTCTCGAACAGCTCGTCGATCTCGTCCTGAGGGGCACGCTCTGCATCCCCGGAAACCATTTATTATGAACCCCTTTGCGCTGACCGTCGACAGCAGTGACCCCCCTTCGAAAACAGTTCGTGCTGACAGCAACAGTCGTGCTGCTGAAGTGTCTGCCAGCCCCCTCGGGGGCGCAAGGCTGAGAGAGGCCATGCCAGACTGCTGTGTGCTGCGTTTTGCCTCTTGTCTCTCCAGTCCTGTCCTGTTGTGAGTCCACTTAGCGCGGCGTCTTGACCAAAAACCAGGGGGGGGTCTCAATTTGCTTACCGCTCTAGCTTGCCCCAGGATTGCCGTAGAGACGCCCCCAGACGGCCAAGAAGGCCCAAAAGGCCTCCATGACGACCCCAGAACGGCCCGAGGATGGTCTCGGGATCCCCAGAGGGCCGAAGGCGCCTGCGAGAGAGAGCGAACCAAATTGGAAACGCCATTGTGCGTTCGACATGCTTGCCTGCCCCACGTCTTGTTCACAAGATATGCTTCAAGACGGTCCCCTGAGATCGCCAAAGACAGCGTAGAGATGGCCCCAGATGCCCCAAGATGCAGCCCAATTCCCGAGACCTCCCAGGATGCCCGAGAAGGCCCCAGCGCTGTCCCAATAGCGCCACAGGATGGTTGCTCAACCTTAGGGGCTTACGATAGAGGGTGCAGCCCTGAAGATAAGCTCATGCCTAGTGGGCTGCGTGGGACGAAGGAGGAGGTGTATAGACAAGCCTCTAGGAATGTGCAACCTGGGCCCGTATCCTCAGCCCTGTTGCTCCTTCAGTAGTATGTCCCTGTTTGTCACTCGGAGCCCTACCAGCCACTAAGAGCGGCCAGTACCCTTACAAAAAATCCGAGGCTTCTTCAGCTCCCCGATCCCTCCAGTCCCTGGGCGGTCACTCATCCCTCTTCCTCCTCCCTGGTGCTCAAATTTCGCCCCGAAAGTAATCAAGGCCCCTCTCTCGATATCTGAAGCCACATACACCAATAAGCAAAACATATCGCAACATATCCGCCACCGTGCTGCAGGCACTGGGTGAACTGTCCTTGGCACCCTTCGTGCTCTCTACATTGAGAAGCGTAGATCGGCCGGGCCCAAGGACACACAACAACAACAACAAAAAAACAAATCCCAGGATCCCCCATAGTTTCCCATATTTCCTAGAGTTTCGTATTCCCCTCCACTTCCCATATTTTCCCATACTCCCCTGGGAATCGACGATTGATTGCGTCTGTGTGTGTGTGTTTGTTTGTTTCCCCCTCCTGATCGATACTCTTACAGGTGCTCGCTGGCGCTTCCGGGGCGGCTCGCATGACGTTTCTGGGGGCCTCGGCAGCGCGGCGGTCGGGCTTCAAGACTTCCGACATGGCCTAAGATGGCCCCCCGGCATCGTGCTGGAGCCCTCTTGGGCTCCTCGTGGGCCGTCGTGCAGGGCCCGCGGGCCAGCCCAAGGGACCAAAAAACAGACCACTCAAAAAGCAAGCACGGCTATCCAATTACATCCGCTTCGGGGGGGTCCGCCTTTAGCGTCCAGTATGGCCCAACAGGCTCCGAGAACACCTCAACACGGCCCCCGAGACTCCAAAGGCGCCAAGGGGCCCCGAAGACGGTCGAAGAGGGGTCCAAGAGGGGGCTCGTCCCCCCAAGGATGGCCCCCAAGCCCAAGAGACCCCCAAACGACCCGCAAAGGCCCGCAAGAGGCCCCCAGGAAGCCGAAAGAGACCTCCAAGGAGGCCCCCATGAGGCCTCAGCAAGGCTTCCAAGAGGCTCCAATAAGGCCTCCCAAGAATTCCAAATATGCCCCGAAGAGGCTCATTGTCCAAGCCACAAGCACGGTGGCAGGGTGGGCCGAAGGCCACTAGATCCACAGCCCCCTGTTGATTATCACAGGGGTGCCTGGCGTGCTAATCCCACCAGCCCTCTGGGCGCCGGTGGTTTAGAGAGTTTCCTCTTCCAGCCCTCCTTTTTCCCCTTCGGGGACGGGTTGACCCCTCCCCCATACCACCTCCCCTGGACCTGGACGGGGGGTTCCGCGAGGTGTCACGGCGTCCAAAACGGCCTCGGCGAGGAAGCCAAAATCATTGGTTTTACTACGGTTTTGGCCCCATTCTGGCCTCCTGAAGGGGGGGACCCATAATAAAGCTCCCCTCTTGTTGGATCGATCTCCTCTAAGATGGCCCCAAGAGGCGCCCAGGAGGCCCAAAGAGGCCCCAAGATGGCCCCATGATGGCCCCATGAGGCCCCCAAGAGTCCTCCAAGAGGCCCCCAAGAGGACCCCAAGCGGCCCCAAGAGGCCTCCCCGAGGCACCCAGGACGCCCAAGAGCCCCTCGGGACGGCCCACTTGTCGCCTGGGCGTCGTTTCTGGATGGGCTGGTGGGGATATTTTTTTTGTCAGCGGCCGCGGGCGCGCGCGCCGGCGGCGAGTCAGGTCAAAGCGGGCTACGCAGCGACGAATTAAGCGAAAGCACCGGGGACAAGCCACGCCTAACGCGGCTAAGCGAGGCCTCACGCGGCAACCCAGCGGCGGACCAGCGGGTGGCAAGGGCAACTGAGACTGAGTCGAACTGCCAGCGTGCCAATTGCAGGGCGTCAGTAGCACCAGGAAGCCGGGACAAACGACGACCTGGGTCGGGAGCCGACGAATTAATGCATGGGCCCGGGCTGGTGTGGATATTTTTCCTCGCGGGCGCGAGCGAGAAGCGCAGGCGCCGAGTTGAAAGGTCCGGGCCACGGGCCGATCTAATTTACACGCGTGGGCGAGGCCGCCTACGGCGTGAGGGGAGGAGCTACGCGCGAGCCTAAAAGCACAACGACCGAGCGCGGGATCAGAACCTACCGCGGGGGAGGCAGCTGGCAGAGGCTGAGCTGGCTGAGCGGGCTGCAAACGGCTAGGGTAGCTGCTGCACGCGTGCGGGTGAATTGGATCCTGCACGCGAGGACTTGTCGTGACCAGATCTGTATCTTCAGGCCAAACGTACGCCCAGCGAGGCGTTGCCATCAGACGGCCAGACCCGGGAAGGCGGCGCGCAACCAGGAAGAACAGAGTCCGAGAGGTGCAAGCGCGCTCGAACTCAAAGTGGATACCGTGGGAGGAAATCACCAGGTACGCTGCCGGACCTTGTCGCCACCGGGCGCCAGGGGTCAGGGCCACAGCTGTGGCTAGGTACGTGCCACGACCAGTCGGTAACGATGCGCCAGTGGGGGGTGCGCTGACCACTGCAAGAAGGCTGAGGGCTGGTGGGGATATGCGAAGCGTCTAGAATTTCTTTTCTGGTTCTGGTTCTTTTGAAGACTCCCCCTGGGGCTTCGGCGCAGCGCGCTGGCCACCTGGAAAGCCGCCGCCAAGTCATCTCTCGTGGGTCGAATCGCCTCCAAAACTGGAACGATGGTCCAAAATGGCCTCCAAGATGCCTCCAAGACGGCCAAGATGGCCCCAAGAGAGCCCAAGATAGGCCTAAGATGGCCTCCAAGACGGTACCAAGACGCAGATGGTCCAAAGGAGCCCAGGATAGCCCACGAAATGCCCAAGAGGCCTCCAAGACGGTCCAAAAGGCCTCTACGAGGTCCTCCAGGAGAGCCCGAAGAGTCCAAAATCCTTAATTTGCCATAGGTGTTTGAAGCATTTTGGCATTTGCTTCTGTTCGGCTTCCGACGGTCCGAGATGGCCCAATAGCCCCCAAAGATTGCCACAAGATCGCCAAAGAGGCCTCCAAGATGACCCTATAACGGCCCAAGCGGTCCCCAAGACGGACCCAAGAGGGCCCCAAGACGGCCCAAGAGGCCTCCAAGACGGCCCTGAAGCACCCCAAGAGGGCCCCAAGACGGTCCGGAGAGGTCACAGGACGGCTCCCAACGGCGTCAGACGGGCCAGGAACGCCCTAAGACGGTCAAACAGGATCCCGAAGAAGCCCCCAAAGGCCCCTAAGATGCCTCCGAGAGGACCCCAGGAAGCTCCCAAGATGCCCCAAGAGTAACCCAAGAAGCTCCCAAGAGGTCTCCTCATCCTTCTCCTCATCCTCCTTTCCCCTCCCTCTCCTCATCCTCCTCTTCCTCCCCAACGTGTTCCCCGAAGAGCTTCCACAACGGCTGGGGCAACGCATGGTACAGGAGCGTGGTCAAACTTGGCCTAAACGTTTGGCCACCCAGGCGTATACAAAAGGCAGGGGGCGGCGGTGATTCGCCGCATGCGTCTTCGATCTGGTGCCCCCTTTCGCAAGGGGTGCTTGGCGTGCCACACTTTCGAATTGGCCCTTACAACCGTATACTCCGTGGCCCTTGCAAGGGAAAGTTCACAATGACCTTCGGCCAACACTGCAAACCATGCATGCGGACTGATACCCGTGGATTTCCCGTCCAAGATGGCAGTGTGCAGGCAACGAGCGTCGCAGCAAGCAAGAAGAGCGCGCCCAGCCACATCCTGTTATACAGAGCTACACACAGTTACACCCAGTTACACATTGTTACTCCCAGTTACATCTAGTGGCACCCAATTACACCCAGTTACACCTATATACACCCAAGTACATCCAGCTGAACCTGGTTACACCTAGTTACACATGGCAACACCTAGCTACACCCAGTTACACCCAGCTACACCTATATAGACCGAGGTTACACCGAGTTACACCTAGTTACACACGGTTACACCGAGGTACACGTAGCTTCACAGAATTATCGAACTGCCGTAAGTTGCTTGAAGCAACACATGCGTTTCGCACCAGTTGCAATCAATCCGAGAAGTGCTGCAATCGTCCCTCTCCTCGGAGGGCACAAAGGGAAATACACTTTTTTGGTCTGCGGGTCGAGAGCGAGCCTCTTCCGGTTAAAAGCTAGGCGGGCTACGCCAAGCTCTAAGTGGGGAGACGCAAAGGGAAATACACGCCTCAGACGTCGATTCTCGACCATCGTTAAAAGCTTGATGGCTCGAAGCCCGATCCTCGAGCCTCCTCGGAGAGCCGACCCCGATCCTCGTCAGCATCTCGATTCTCGATCTTCGGTCGCCGCGA